CTCACTCTCTCCCCCACCGCCAGCAACAGGCCACCGCCTAGCTGATCGGTCGTCTGGGGTGGGATGTGCGCAAGGAATATCTAACCGATGCACACGCAGGCACATAAAGTCTTTAATTCAATTTGTCTGGGCCTTTGCCCTGCGTTCTGAAATCGACTAAGAATGACAACGTCAAAGATCCCCCTACAGAAACATCAATGATACTAATATCGCATTGATTCTCCCACCACCCCAACTGTCCAGCTTGAATGGAAGCAGGAAAATGCTAAGGTGTAGATATCGTGCGATATCTTTTGGCTGCGAATAAGAAATATAGTTTGAGGCCTCATAGGAATCTTCACATTCGGTCTTGCCCGTTAGCCTGCTGTAAAGCATTGAACTGACTATTATGCAGTCGAGCGGACTGGCCGTACAACAGCTATTTCAATACCGAGCTGGCAGATGTTTGTGTCACTGCTGCTGAAAACCAGTCAGTTCTACTCAACGAAGTCTTACATCCATTCTCTCTTTTTTATGTCGAAAACTAACCCGTGCAGCTGTGATGATTGAAGAGTTGCCTGGTCCAGCCCGCTCATTCAAGCTCCTGGAAACAACTCGTAGATCCCACTGATGGTTTTTTTGCAGCTGTCCGCAGAGGGTCTTTACTGTTCTGAGGTGCCACTGAGGTGTCCCTTCAGACTGCGGATTTTCGCCTGGTCCACATAGTTCGGGGGTGATCGATCGTCACAATACGTCATTTTGATCGGATCTGTAAGCCATTGGAAGAAGTGAAAATTAGCACAGAACCCTAAACGTCCCCAAAAGAGTGAATCATCGCGTGTTGATGAGTCGCAATTTCCAATTAAGACATTTTCTAAGATAAGTAATTTAGCGCGTCTACGAGACATTTTCGTACAAAACTCCATTAAAAGTTTGTCGCGGTGTTCGGTCTCAAGTCTGACAGGGTTCATGGGACGTTCTTAAACCACAGAAACGCAACTTGCTCTTTCATAATCAGCTTGGGTGGCTCTCGCATCTGCCATCCATCATCAAGATTCCAGATAGGAATTTTGGCTCGAGACCAAGACCAGAATATTTTTTTGAATCTGACCTC